CTGTGTAAATAACAGAATGTTGGAAGGGAAATCTAGAGGAAACCTAACCTAACCCCTTGCTTGGTGCAAGATCTTGCAACTTCAGCATCTCTCTAGCTAAACTAGAGCCTGATCTTGTACTTTGGGTGGCAAACAATGGTCTGGGGTGTCTGAACACAATTAAACTAAATTTTACTCATAGTAAAAAGGTAAAGGTACCCCTGCCCGTACGGGCTAGTCTTGCCAGACTCTAGGGTTGTGCGCCCATCTCACTCTATAGGCCGTGGGCCAGCGCTGTCCGGAGACACTTCCGGGTCACGTGGCCAGCGTGACATCGCTGCTCTGGCGAGCCAGAGCCGCACACGGAAACGGCGTTTACCTTCCCGCTAGAAAGCGGTCCCTATTTATCTACTTGCACCTGGGGGTGCTTTCGAACTGCTAGGTTGGCAGGCGCTGGGACCGAACGACGGGAGCACACCCCGCCACGGGGATTCGAACCACCGACCTTTCGATCGGCAAGCCCTAGACGCTGAGGCTTTTACCCACAGCGCCACCCGCGTCCCTTTACTCATAGTAGACCTGTTGAAATTAATGGACCCATCTTAATCATGTTCATTGATTTCAGCTGCTCCGTCCTGAGTAAAACTTAGTTGCATACTGCTCCATGTTTACTCTGCAAAGCAGCAGTGAGGAGAGCAACTTTTAGGAGGGGAAACATTAGTGGGGTGGTGGATACGCTTAACTTTTCCCCTATTCCCATCTCTACCTTTTCTCAGCTTTTTCTTTATACTCGAGAACAAGAAATTTAGTAAGATATTTATAAAACAACAATAACAACGAAAAACAGAAATGTAAGAGAAGGTTGATGACTAAAATTAGATCCATAACTAATTTTGGAAAGGATGTGTGTGGTGGGGTAAAAACTAGTGGGAAGAAAAAGGCTTCTAATAATTAAAATTTGTTACAGTCCTTGGCTTCTACGGAAATCCAGCATTTTGTCATCCAACGTATCCACAGAGATATGTTTCTGGAACTGTTTCTTGAGGGAGGCAGGAGGCAACTGCATTACCTTTTTATATGTGGCTAGGCATTCATTGCCTCTTTTATTTGCCACAAATACAAAACCCAGAGCAAATACCAACCAAGCTGCTAGGGAGGTTTAAGCTGATCAGGTGTTCGAAGGCTGTCTCTGTGGCGATTAGGGAGACTGTCCTCTGCCATTTGGGTGGTCCAATTAGGGAGGTGGTGGCTGTGAGCTAGATGGCAGATGGCAGCCGTCCCAGACAATTAAAATAGGTGAAGAGGGAATGAGCTTCTTCTTGGATCAGCAGAAATAAACGAGAAGGAAAAGGGGGAAAGCCCACATCAGAAAGGAGAGACTGAGCTGAAACCACCTTATTCGTCTTTGGAAAGCTTAGGGAGCAGCAATCCACAAGCAAGTCTCTTACTGAGAGAGACTCTGGGGCTGCTTTGGAGAATCATAAAATCATAGAATCTTAGAGTTGGAAGAGACCTCAATGGTCATCTAGTCCAACCCCCTGCATTACAGGAATCTCAGCTAAAGCATCCATGACAGATGGCCATCCAAACTCTGCTTCCAAAGAAGGAGAGAGAGTCCGCCACTTTCTGAGGGAGACTGTTACTGTCAGAAAGCTTTTCCTGATGTTGAGGTAGAATCTCTTTTCTTATAACCTGAAGCCATGGGTTCAAGTCCTACCTTCCAGAGCAGGAGAAAACAAGCTTGTTCCCTCTTCTTGTGACAGCCCTTGAGATGACGTGGATCCATTGTTATGTTGCAGTCCAGTCCATAGGGGTGCATCCAGGTGCCCCCAATTTCAAAATCTGGGGAAGTCCCAGTTCAGCACCTTCACGCTTGAACCTGCAGGATGTTTTAGGCTGTGCTAGTTCACATTTCTTTTAAACAGTCTTCCCAAAACTTAGGCTATACCTACTAAATGCTACTTAGAGCAGACCCTGGAAATTAATGGACATGGTTAACTTGGGTTTACTGAGGATGCAGCTGAGGTCCTTAGATGCAGCTAGGCTGTATTATTATTGTCCTCCTTTAACCCTAAGAGTCCAAGATGGGTCACAACAATTAAAATACAGTATTAAAAACAGTTGAGAATTGCAGAAATAAGATGGGTTGTGAAAACATACATCTCAGGTGCCAAAAGGCCTGGGTA